GCATAAGAATTCCTCCTGCCCCTTCCAATCTCTTGATCTCATTAAGAAATATACGTATAGAACGTAAAGGCCTGTATGAGAGGTCATGAACAGGAATAAGTACCATAGCAGTTCAAGAGAAAGAAGGAATCATGGGGTGAAAAATGATCAGGGGTATGCATTTGTATACGAAGCTGTGGGAAATATTGTTACAAGTTGTGCAAGTTGCAAGTATTATTTTTTAAATGGAAAAAAAAAAAAAAAATATATATATATATATATATATATATATATATATATATATATATATATATATATATTTTGAGTTGGAGTCTCACTCTGTCACCCAGACTGGAGCACAGTGGCCGCTCCCGGCCACCGCAGCCTCGACCTGCTGGGGCTCCGGTGATCCTTCCTCCTCAGCCTTCCAAGTAGTAGTATGTTAAAGAGTAATAAATGAGTAAGACCAACCCCTACCCTATCCTCCAAAATGAAAGAGCACAGAAAAAAAAAATTCAAACAGCTCTTAAATATATAAAAAGCTTACTCTCATTCATAAGAGATGTTATTTTTTTTTGTTGAAGTCTCATTCTGTCACCCAGGCTGGAATGCAGTGCACGCTCAAGGCCACCGCAGCCTCAATCTGCCGGGCTCAGGTGATTCTTCCACCTTAGCCTTCCAAGTAGCTGAAACTACAGGCATGAGCCACCATGCCCAGCTAATTTTGTTTGTTTTACTTATTGTAGAGATAAGTTCGCGCCAGGTTGTCCAGGCTGGTCTTGAACCCATGGGCTCAGACAATCCTCTCACCTTGGCCTCCCAAAGTGCTGAGATTATAGGTGTGAGCCACCATGCCCAGCCGAGATGTCACTTTTTAGATGCCAAAGGGCTATTTGTAAATTCCAGAGTTGGAGAGGCTGAACTCTCACATCTTACTGGTGAGAAAGGAGACTGTAAGGAGGCAGGAACTGTCAAAATTAAAAACAGCTTTTGACCCCAAAATTCCACATCTAGGAATCTATCCTACATATATACTTACATAGTACATATATATTAGGGATAGGGTTTTGTTGTTTCCCAAGCTGGTCTCAAACCCCTGGCCTTAAGTGGTCCTCCTGCCTCAGCCTCCCAAAGTGCTGGGATTACAGGCATAAGACACTATGTCTGACAGTACAGCACTACTTTTTAAGAGCAGATTACAGCCCAGAGCAATGGTTATATAAACCATTAACACAGTATAGCATTAACACCGTGAAGCTGTGAAAGAAGCTACTTTATTATACATGAAAATACAGTAATTTCTAAGATACATTTTAAGTGAAAAGAGCAAAGTGTTGGATATTATACTACCAACTGTATGGGAAAGACATATGAAAAGGTTGGTAAATTATAACTTTGATGGACACACAAAATTAGTAACACAACGGCTGTTCTTGGTAAGAGGAAACAATGACTAAGTTTCAAACGGAGAGGAATAAGACCTCATCACTGGATGTCTTTTTTTTTCTTGAGTTGGAGTCTCACTGTCGCCCAGGCTGGAGTGCAGTGGCACGCACACCCACAGCCACCCCAGCGTTGACCTGCTGGGCTCAGGCAATCCTTGCACCTCAGCCTTCCAAGTAGCCGGAACTATAGGCATACACTACCACGCCTGGTTAATTTTTGATTTATTGTAGAGACGAGGTCTTGTCAAGTTGCTGGACTGGTCTTGAACCCGTGGGTGCAGGCAATCCACTTGCCTCTGCTTCCCAAAGTGCTGGGAATACAGGGTGAGCCACCAACCCTGGTCTTTTTTTTTTTTTTTTTTTAAAGCGACAGGCCCAGGCTGGACTCAAACTCCTGGGCTCAAGTGATCCTCCTGCCCCAGTCTCTCAAGCAGCTGGGACCACAGATGTGTACCACTAAGTCCACCTCTGGATGCCTGTTTAGAATACATTAAAATTTTAAAATGTATACTTCTTATCAACGCAAAACAACTTTTTTTTTGAGTTGGCATCTCACTCTGTCACCCAGACAGAGGCACACTCACAGCTACCGCAGCCTGGACCTGCTGGGCTAAGGTGATCCGTCTGCCTCAGCTTTCCAAGTAGGTGGAACCACAGGCATGCACCACCACACCTGGATGATTTTTTGAGACAAGGTCTCGCCATGTTGCTCAGACTGATCTCAAAAAGTGCTGGGATTACAGGTGTGACACTGCGCTAAGCTGCCAATGCAAAAAAATTTAAACAAATGAGAACACAGTGATTCAAGATATCCACAGTCACCTAGATTGTCTATGTTGTAGGATGATAAGTAGCTTTTTTTTTTAATGCATTTCTATAATACACTAAGCTTACTATTTTCACAATATTTTAAAGATGATGATAATGTAAAGGACAAAAATCCAGATAAAAATGCAAAGATCTAGAGGGTAGGATGAATACAGAATATTTAGGTTATAATAGGCAAGGCTAAATAAAGCAGATCATTTTGTAATCATGAAATATACATTGTGCCTTACAGAAAACCTGCACTAATACTTGCAGAATATGTGAAAGACTTGGTCAGGGGCTATATTCACAGGGCATTTTTGATACTAAACAAAGCAGTCCAATCTTTAATCCGTAGGCCTTTATTGACATTAGAGCATAAAATGATTAAAACGCTGTTAAGAGTAAACTGGTAAGGTTAGAATGGGGTTATTCTAGAAACAACAGTAGCCAATTTCTAGCCAACAGGCAAGTTTTATGTGGTTCTAGTAATGTTTTAAGGATCTGGAAGAACCACAAAGCCCAAGAAGCTCTGTTTTCAAAAGCTGACAACCCATGTAAGGAAAATGTGGTTTCCTTTAAACAGGTAGGGGCTTTCTGTTTTCCTATGTTGTTACCTTAGTAGGCTTATTCTTTTCATGTACCAAACTTTTCTGATCTCCAGATATTGAGCTTTTTGACTGCTACTAGTTACTAGAATTAAGTCACCTGACCTAGCCAAAGGGTCTGGGCTAGAAGGTGATGGTAGATCTGAAAAGGTAAAGCAGGGGGCCATAAGATGCAGACTGCCCTGCAAGCACGTAGAGACTCAGAAGTAGGACTGTCAAAGTTTGAGTCCTGGCTTTACCACTTACTAGATCTGGGACCTGGCTCTAATGAGTTACTGCTGTCTCATTTTTTCCCATCTGTAAAATGATTCAATAATAATACCTCATAGTTGTTAAGGATTAAATAAATATGTGTAAAGCAATTAGTATAGTGCCTAGCACAGAATTCGTTTTTATTAAATTTATTGCATGTCTACCATGAGCTTTGTTCTACAGAAATAAAAATTCAGCTGGGTATGATAGTTCACACCTGTAATCCCAGCACTTTGGGAGGTGGAGGTGAGAGGACTGCCAGAGTCCAGGAGCTTGGGCAAGCTGGTGAGACCTTGTCTCTACCATATCAAAAAATTAGCCGGACAGAGTGGTGTGTGCCTGTGACTCCAGCTACTTGGAAGGCTGAGGCAGAAGGATCGCCTGAGCCCATCAGGTCCAGGCTGTGATGGCCATGAGTATGCCACTGTATTCCAGCCTGGGTGACAGAGTGAGACTCCAATGCAAATACAATAAAATAAAATTCATATTTTGCATCTCATGAGCACTGCAAAGGAATGAAAAGTCACCAAAGGTGACAGTACAGTGGAGATTTAGAAATTATCTACATAAAGGTAATTGAAATTCTGACAACAGATGAATTCTTCAAGCATAAACATTTAGATAAAAATCCAAGAACAGATGACTAATCCTTAAAAGTACCTCTCGGACTGGATGTAGAAAAATGAGGAGTCAGATAAAGTGTGATTAGGAAAGTATACTGTATCACTTCAGAATCAAGGACAAGAAAATCATGTCAAATTTCCAGAATAATAATTCCAATGTACATTTCCAATGTAAATTTTTAGTTTTTAAAGCACTCATGATCTCACTGGATCCTGAAAATGACCTCATGAAATAGAGGCATTATCTCCATTTTATTAATGAAGAAAAGTTCAGATATTAAGTTATTTCCTAAGATCACATAGCTAGTAAATTATAAAATGGGAAATCAAGATCACTATTTATATATATTATTCTCCTGTAACAATCTATAAGAATCAGGGTAAGTTAATACTAACTTCATTCAATAGAGTATTATGTCCCTTCCCATTAAAAAAAATAAAACTGGCCGGGATCAGCGGCTTTGCCTGTAATCCCAGCACTTTGGGAGGCCAAGGCGAGTGGACTTCCTGAGCCCACAGGTTCGAGACCAGCCCGAGCAACTTGGTGAGACCTCGTTTCTACAGTAAATTTAAAAGTTAGTCAGGCATGATTGCACACACCTGTAGTTCTGGCTACTTGAAAGGCTTCGGTGGAAGGATCACCTGAGCCCATTGGGTCGCTGCTGGGGTGGCGGTAAGTGTGCCACTGACCCCAGGCGTGGGAATGAGACTCCAACTCAAATAAATAAATAAATAAGTAAAAACCAAATAACAAAGTAAATTAAGAGTTTTGCTAAATATCAACCACCAATACATCAGAAACAAACATGACCAGAACAAAAAAAAATACTACCTATCATTTTTCCTTTTGCCCAAAAAAGTTAAGTACATTTGTTTTTACTGATTTTTAAAAAATTCTTTGTTCATTCCCCCCCAAAATATTTGAGCATTCTAAGACAAGTACAGCTACAACGTTTATGTTAAGACTCTCTCACAGCATTTTACTCCATAAATATATGTACGATTATTATGTGTCAATTGAAAACAACTTTACAAAAAGACTGTTCTCAAGAGCTTAGCAGGAAAGACACACTGGTGAATATGCAATTTTAATATGTGACAGATGCTACAATGAGTATTTGTACAGGTGCAGCCAATTCAATCCAGGAGAGAGGCAGGTGTGGTGTTGGGAAAAAGATGAATGGAAGGTACACAAAAACTAGTCAGGGAACAGGGAAAGTGTGCCAGGCAGTGCGTGTGTACAAATAGTATTAAGAGTAATCAAGAATGCTTATACCACAAGAATGTAATATCCATTCAACTTTAATTCTGTTACCTTTTTTTATTTTACAATATATTTCAAAAAACGTTGTTACAGTTGCCTTAACTGCTCTATATAATCTGGAATAAAAGAACACTTAGAACACACAAACATCAAGCTGTAATACCTACTTGTACTGAACCATTACTACCTAAGGGATGTAGTCTTTTAAATAAGCAGATGTGTGGCAATGCAAAATAAAATACAAACTTGTTAAAACAGAACAGTAAACTTTGCTTTAATGGCTAGAAAGGAGGTGGTTTTATTCTCTTTTTTCAACACATCTGGTTCTGGCAGAAATTTGTGTTATGCGTTTAGAGCAATATGTGCCCTGAAAGCTTATACTTTCAGTTTGTGCGTGTCACCTGAATCAGAAACCAGACACATGAAAAAAATATAGTCCTCAATACCCTCAATAACTCTCCCCTCAGAAGGTCACAACGCTAGTGAATTCAAGACTCTCATTGGTGATGGTATTTTACAATTATTTTTCTCCAGAGACAATGGATGCTTTTAATTTTCTCTGAAAGAGAAGCAATGAAAAAGCAAGGAAACCCTCTAGAGTCCAATTTTCACATCCCATTCTCCAAGTAGTAAAATAGCAGCTCTACATGTTGATGAAAAGGAATTTCAATTTTTTTCTTATTAGTTTTTAGTCGTATCAACACTAGAATGAATCTGGATTTAATTCAATTTGCAGAAAGAAAATTTTAGTTGCTAAATATTTCAGAAATTTAATAAAGCATTACATACATATAATTAGTTCTTATTTACCAAAAGACATATGTATGTATACATATTTATTTATCTTACCTTCATTGAAGTTCTTTTTTTCTGGCTGGACTTGAGAAACAAGATTAAGTGACCAATGCTGGCTTTATTTCTTTATAAGCAATAATTTGGGTCTTTTTCCATTCAATACAACTGCAGCATTTTCACAATAAATTCACAAAAGGCAATACAAAGAAACACGTATTGAATGGGCCTCTGCCAAGCAATTCATGTTTTAAAGTTAGGCTCTACCAAAGTGGTACTATGGCATTATAGGCATTCAATTTGTTTTCTTTTTTCAAGTTTGTCAGTTCTTTACTATCATTATTTTTTCTAGCGAGAGATAATGTATAATCACAATGTAAGGTCTAGAGACCATTTACAGTTGCTTGCAATATCATGATGAACTTAACTCTCAGGAGCTGATATAACCAAAGTGAACAGTAGTCAACTAGAACCACATTTGGTCACATTCAGAAAGTCTCCAAAAGCACTCTGCTAACCGATACATGGTTCCTTCTCTCCTGGACTGATTTTGTGTTACTCTTATTAAAATGGTAACAAATAAAGACTGCAAAGTTTTGTAGAGTTATATTTCTAGGGAACTATTATATTCAAATGAATATATTTTAATTTGCAAAATGTCATTAGTAATATCCTTTCTATAAACATGGTTGGCAAAATAAAAAAGGCACAAAAGGGGTAACAAGTATTTTCAGCTTTCAGTGAAGAGTGTCAAAGCATGTATCTTTCATAAAGAAAAGCAGAGAAAAATGTTCAGTAATTCATGCACAATTTGAGCTACAAAAAAACTTCTCTTCAGATAGGTCCTGAGGCTTGAGGAGAAAATGAGTTTTCTAATCACGTGCTTCATGTAAAATAAAATGTAAAGCTGCACATATATGTTTGGTTTTAACAGTGGACCCATGTTTTTTTAAAAAGTGAGGCAACTAAACAAAGGGAAACAAAACCAAAATACCTTCATACACAAAGTTAATTCCACCTGCAGCCTCTGTCCCTTTTACCACTCAGCGGTGTAAAATGTCCAATAAAATGTAAAATGCAGCATATGCAATCATGTAATCTAAAAACTCTCATGATAACTTATTGCAAATTGCACTTGACAGTTCACCACAACATGGAAAACTGGCCCCTTGTTGGTTCACACAGTCCTTGAGCCCCAAACTGTAGTCACCAGTAAAATGATCTGGATAAAAAGTTTGCAGCTGTGCTCAGCCAGCTAGCTCCACCCTCCGGGTGTGAGCCAACCCGGGACACTGCTTTGTCCTGCTCCTTTGTGGGACTTTCATCCTCAGGCAGGTAGTCAGGCAGTTCTGTATTCTGTTCCACTTCCACAGGAGTATCCTGGAACGGGACCAGCATCTGATACAGAGAACATATTGAGAATTATCACAAAATCAACTTAATGTGTTATACATACGTCATAAGTTAAAGGTCAACTTGACTCCTCATTCTAATTACCATATTTATTTTCAGGGGTTCTATTCCTTCTAAAACTTTCCTCTTACATGATGGTAGGTAGGCCCAATCGCTAACACCGCGTAAGCACAGAAAGGAAGAGATCAAGTGCAAATGATACCACAGAAGCTGCTTTGCTGAGGCTCTAGGACTAGATCAACAACCTCTGTCTATGTAACGATGACTAAAGAAAGTATCTGTCCACTGTGGGCCACTAGAGAGCCACAGAACCGCCCATCTGTGGGAATCTAAATGAGCTTAAGGCCTACAGGTTCGTGTTCCCTATCACAAAGCTAGTGGGAAGAATATCAACAGGTAAGGATTCACCCTATTTACTTGTCCAACACTTACACCTTTATTTTTTAAGCAAGACTAGTTAAGATTAGAAAAAAATATTTTAAAACAAACGCAAAAGAAATCATGTAGCCTTTATTTTCCTATAAAATCAGCAGGTATCCCCACTGACTTCCTCACAAAAGCAGACTCTGAAATTCACAAAAGACTTCTCTAAATTTCTGTAACAGTTAACTGCTAACCAAGAAATGCCACATTCTTAAATATTTGGCAACTATTGGTCTAGAAATACTGGCAATCTGCTAGCCATAAAAAATAATCAAGAGTCTGAGTTAGATAAAAAGAAAGTTAAATATAACCGTTACCTCTTCTCCACTTTCACTTTTCACCACTTGCTGAGCTTTCATAACCTTGGTTGATGCTATTGCTGATGCCAAAGCCTAGGCCAGGATAAAAAAGAAGAATTTTGAACACTAATTTGTTTACCTGTAACTTCAAGCATATCTGGACATTTAAAATACTAACCTCTGCTTTCAAATCTGAACGAATTCGCACCACACATCTTTGAACAGCCATTTGAAAAGTAAAGCTAATAACACCTTTAATTTTTAACAAGGCCTCTTCACATAGATTTCTTCGAGACTGAAAAAGTAAAAACAAATTGTTATTAAAATAGGTAAAATAGTAGAAGGGAATAAATCAACTAAAACCACATTGAACTAGCCATTATGAGGGGGAAGGGAGCAAATGTACCTATTTAAGTTTACCATCTCAAATTTCAGGGCACAGAGTAAACGGTCAAGTTTATTAAATTTTACTAGATCAACAGAATAGTAATTTCTGCTAAATTTAAGTTTAATATATGGTTCTAATACATTTTATAGAGTTTAGTCAATGTTAATTTACATCTTAAATAAAACAAGAACACAACCCAAAAAATACTGAAAAGCAGAAAAGCAAAGGTTCCTCTAGAGCAAGATAAGCTACAATCTATCAGCTGTTTTTATAAGAAAAGTTTTAATGGAACAGCTACACCCATTTTTTTGCATATTACCTAAGGCTAGTTTCATCATAAGGCAGAGGTTATGAGAGACCAGAGACTACTGTGGCCTGCAAAATCAAAAATATTTACTCTCTGGTCCTGTAAAGAAAAGCTTTACTGACCCCTGCTCTTACTTAAAAATCTCTAGGGGTAAATTCCAATAAATTAAAGTTAAAATCAGTGAGTATTCAGTGTTTGAGTCTCTATTCTTTAAACCATTTGGTATTTATATATATCACTACATCCTTCATGTATGGCATTCTCAGTGGTTACTTGCATTTTCAAGGGTTATCAACATCTTTCTGGTTCTCATTTTCCTCCGAACAATAGTTCACAACACAATATAATATATACACCCTTCAATACTTCAATGCAGGGTACTACACTATGGTCTTCTGCTTACCTCACTGATTATTAACTCACCCAAAGGTCAACAACTAAAGTGACGTTCCTTCTGCTTTGTCCCTCAGGAGACTATTTTCATCACTTTAGCCTTCATTACTAACTCCAATATGACTTTCTTACTTTTATTTGTATATCAGACACATCCACTTGAATATCAAGTGGTCAGCTCAGTAAAAGATCCAAAGTGAAAATGGGTTAAAAAGTAACAGCATTAGCCGGGCTCGGTGGCTCAGCCTGTAATCCCGTGCCTTTGGGAGGCTGAGGTGA